CAATTCGAGGTTTCTGCCTCCTGCAGCTGCTCCGGGGCCTGGAGCCACCAGAAAACGACCCAGGATGAAAGTCGAACCCCTGGTAAAAGGGGTCCTTGCCAAGGCAAGCGCGACATCAGTCTGCCCATGGGCCACTCTGTCTGCCTCTGTCTGTCCCCTGGCGGACACAAGACCCTTAGAATGCTGGTGAGGTGAAACATTCGAATGTCGTGGTGCACCCTCTGGACCTTGGAAATCTCTTCGGCCATAAACCACCGTGGACCTGGCTCGTCAGGGCGCGTGACCCGGGGGCGTGACTACCGTCGTGCCGACCCCCCAGGTGCCACTGGATTAAACTGATAAGCAATGACAAAACGAATGGCAACTCATCGTATGCCCTCGCTTGCTGCGCTCGGATGGGCCTGGAGCGGCCCTTGGTGGACTGTGCACTGCCCTTTTTGCCGCCCCGACTCCATCGGGAGCGGCCAAGAGGGGGGTGTCCAAGAGGGGGGGGGGGGGGCAAATCATGACCGGCGGCATGTGCGCGGCCCAGCGGGGGGGCCAGGGACGTAATGAAATAAGAAGAGGCGCCCTGAAATCTGGGGAAATATCATGGCCCACGCCATGATATCCACCCCCCCCTAGTCATCACCCCCCTCTTTTCCGTTCCCGACTCCAGCCAATTCCCCCGGCCCATCAGGCCGGGGAACTGGGCAGAATCTTCGGTCGGACGGCTGCGTCCAACTGGACATCGAGCCGATAGCGATAGCGATAGAATCTTCGGTAAGAGATTCGAGACACCTGTCTCTGCAAATGCGCTCGCGCGCGCGTGTCGGCCCCTGGGCCCCCCGAGGAGAGCTACCCCGGCAGGGCTGGGTCAGAGATGGCTTCGCTTCTGGGCGCGGCCTTGGAGCCTGCGATCCCTCCGGAGCGCTCCGGGCTGTCGCAGCCCTACCGCCCCGTCAATGATTCGGGCACCGTAGTGTTTGAAGAAACTGCACCTGGTTAATGTCAGGCTCAACGTGTGTCAAATTGTCGCCATAGAGGTTCCATCCTTTTGTCGGTCCCCATTCTGCAATCAACGTCTTTTGTGTAGTATCCTCAGCATTCGGCATATACCCGTCTCACCTCGAAGAATAGCCGTGCCACGCTTCCAGATGCTCCCAAGTCGGCCCCACGAGAGCCCCAGGGAGGCCCAAGATGGTCGACGACAGCCCCCAAGAGGGATGCCATGGCGACCTTGCGCGGTGGCTTACGCGGGCCGCCAGCGCGGCACGCTACGAAGGAAGCGATGACGCCTACGCGCGACCCTACGCGGGCAGCTTACGTGCGAGTGTCGGCGCAGTCGATCCCGTTCCTTCAGAAGAGAAATCGGCATGAACACAAACTTTTGGCGCCCCGCGCGGATTTCTTGCATCCCCCCTCCCTGGCGCGCGGAGCGCGCCAGGGGCGGCGCCGGAGGCGCCGCCCTGGGGGCCCCAGCGCAGACCCGAGAAATCCGCGCGGACCGTAAAATGTTTATCTTCGAGTAGTTTATTCCGGGGATGGACAGACCCCCCTTTCGTAAAACGTGGTTTAGTGAAAACGACCCGAGGCCCAAACCTGGCGGGCGCAAGCCTGGAAAATCACGGCCACGGCGCCCTCTCGAGAACCGAAGACGGACAATTCACGAATCGACGTGTCACCCCCGATTATGATTCTTTTCTTCGATGCACGGCGTCGCTCCGCTGGCTTCCGGCCCCCGGCTCGCCAGCAGACTGCCCGCGGCGACGCGCCCAGGTCCATTATAGAGCTCTCCGAGGCCGGCACCGCGCAGAGGGCACCCGACGAGTCGGAGGCCAGGACTCCGCCCCCGCGGGCCTCCCCGACCGAAGGAGCGCTCCCCTGCCGCGGCAGCACCTTTCCTCCGGCGGCGAGCGGAGGGGGGGGGGAAGGAGGAGGGGGAGGAGGAGGGGGAGGAGGAGGAGGAGGAGGAGGAGGAGGAGGAGGAGGAGGAGGAGGAAGGGGAGGAGGAGGAGGAGGAGGAGGAGGGGAAGGGGAAGGCCCTCTCAGACGGCGGCAGGGCTCCTCAGAAGCCACTGGGCCTTTTTGAAAAGTCGTCGGTGCCTTCGGGGAAGGCCCAGAGAGAACTTCTCGGAAGGCCGGGGGACTTCTGAACCCTCTGAGGGGGCCCGCCCCTTCTCCTCCTCCTTCCTCCTCCTCCCTCCTCCTCCTCCTCCTCCTCCTCCTCTCCTCCCTCCTCCTCCTCCTCCTCCTCCTCCTCCTCCTCCTCCTCCTCCTCCTCCTCCCTCTCCTCCTCCCCCTCCTCCTTCCCCCCCCTCCGCCCGCCGCCGACGGTCCTTCCGTGGGAGGCGCCCAGGGGGCCTCAGGAGGTGTTGTGAGCGCCAGCGCAGGTGCAGGTCCACAGGACCGCGGAGGAGGTCTTGACCCAGACGCGGCCTCCATCGGCGGGGTCCACGCGGTTGCAGACGCTGACGAGGCCACCGAACTCCATCCGGGCGTCGGTCACGTCTCGAGCAGGAGGATCCGACTACAGAACTGATGCACCCCAGATTTAGTATCCGCAGAGTCCACGAGCAATACCTGATTATACGACCACCCTCCGGGTGACAAGAGCATTCCAGGGGGGAGGGACCGCCGGCTCACTGAATCGCTCTCACGATCGATCCCACGATCGCTCTTCCGATCGAACTCACAGTCAATCTCACTATCGAAATCACGATCGACTATCGATACCACTATCAATATCATTCAATCGATGTCACTCAATCGAAACCGTTATCGATCAAACTATCGATACCATGATTGATTTAAATTTCGATCTTGCAATCGATTTCACTACCGATACCATTATCGATCTCACTACCGATCTCACTATCGATCGTCCTATCGATATCACCATCAATTTCGCTGCCGCTCTCACTATCAATCTCAACGTCTATCTCACTATCGGTCCCAGCCTCGATCTCACGATCGATCCCACTACGGGACACCAATGGGACATCGGCGGGACACCCGCGGGACACCCCCTGCCACCGCCGGCCGACCCGGGGGGAAGCCGCGGACGGTTGACCCAGCGGCGCCCTAGCCCGACGAGGTCTCATCCCTCTCGCCCGCCATCGCAGCTTCGCCTCGCCAGCACGCACGACACGAACACGGAGCCGAAGCCACTTTCCCGGTGGGGGGGGGCTCTCCGCTTCACTGCCGTCTCACCCCCCTCACCTCCGACGCAGCAGGTTCGTAGATCTACTTTTTCGATTTGCGGCCCGCAAGGAAAAGTCCAGAGGGCGGTCAGAACGAGGCTGGGGCACAGCGCGCGATGATTAGCGCGAGAACGCGCGGAATGCACATGCAAGACGATTAGGCGAGGCGGCCACAGGTGGGCAACCACAGGGGTTCGTAGATCTACGAGCACTCTGCGCTTTTATTGTTTTCGTAGCAGGTTCTACGAACATCTCAATTCGGGTGCCGATTGTAATTCTCTAGCCGGTCCCCTGCTCGACCTGTCCACGGGGCCAGAGAGCCGCACCACCCAGGGCTCGAGCTAGACGGTGTTTTGGCGCTCTCGTGGGCCGTTTTCGTTCTCATGTCGTCTCGCAGCAACGGCCGAACGGAGGCAGAACGAAGGAAAACATAAAAATAAAAAACGAAACCGAAAAGCATGGTTCATCTCGAGCCCTGGCACCACCACGGACGCTCGGCTGGCCGCGGGCGCCTCCTCCGCCCGTGCCGCGAGGCCCCCTCCCTGCACAGCTCCCGCGCCGCGCCCGCGGCGCCCGCGGCGGAGGAGCCGCCCGAGGACGGCCGCCGGCCACTGCGTTTTCTTACGCGGCGTTCCGACATTGGGCTTATGTCGGGCCTGCCCCCCCTACAGGGGGATTTTCGAAGAAAAATGTTAAAAATACCCCAAACGTGCACCAAAAAGGTCGACACATACTAAAAAATAGTACCCAGACTATGTTTGGACTATGTTTTGATTACTTTTGGGGTATGTTTTTATTTTTCGCCGAAAATCCCCCTGTGTAGGGGGACACGCCCGACTTAACAGTGGGCGGAAGGGGAGGGGGAGGGGGCGGGGTCTGACTCCAGGCCTCTGCTCAGTGCGACTGTCTGTAGCAGTGCCTCCCGCAGGGGAGATTCCACTTGCTCGAAAGAGGCGCCGACAGAACAGCGAAGATGCACTCCACGGGGCGGGGAAGTGGGGGTGCGAGGGCCCGCGCCGATCGTAGAGGAAGCAAAACAGCATGAACATAAACTGTTGGCGCTCCGCGCGGATTCCTTGGATCTGCGCTGGACCCCCCTCTCTGGCGCGCGGAGCGTGCCAGGGGCGGCGCTGGAGGCGTCGCTGGGGGGGGCCAGCGCGGATCCAAGAAACTCGCGCGGAGCGCCAACAGTTGATGCTAATGGCGTGTTTTCTTCGTGATCGGCAAAAAGATGAATAAGAAAACGATCACTGTGCTTAGGTTGGGCCTGTCCCCCTACAGGGGAACTTTGGGTGGAAAACGAATAGTGCTCAAGAAATGCTCCCAACATGACCCGAAATGGTTACAAAGTAATCCCCAGACTATTTTCTGACTACTTTTGAATATTCCTCCTGTAGAGGGACAGGCCCTCTGTGGGCCCCGGAAACGGCAGGGCCGTTTTTTTTTACCGTTTCCGAAAACATGTCCCTTGAAAATGGAAACGGCAAAAAAACGGCGACCGGAAACGGCAGACAAACGGCTCCAAGATTGGAGCCGGAGCCGGAACCGGTCCAAAGACGGCGACGGAACCGGTCACAAAAACGGCGTCGGGATCGGCACAAAAAAACGGCAAGGCGGAACCGGGAAAAAGGCGGCCCTGTCGTTTCCAGGGCCCACTAAGGACAGGCCCGAGGGAACACTGTGCTTAGGTCGGGCCTGTCTCCCCACATGGGAACTTTGGGCGAAAAACTAATCATATACTCAAAAAGTGCTCCCAAAATGCCCCCACATGGTTACAAAAAAAAACCCCAGACTACTTTCTGACTACTCTTGAATCGCCCTCCTGTAGAGGGACAGGCCCGAGGGCACACTGTGCGGATCTCGGGCGCCCGGCTGTTCCACCGCAGCCCCGTCGTGGAGATGGCGGCGCACGCCTCGCCCAGCGGGACGAGGCCGCAGTGGGGCCCGTCCTCCGCGCCGGGGACCTGCAGCACGTGCTCTCCGCGGTCCAGCAGGAAGAGGAAGGACTCGTCCCCGATCACTGCGATCTCGAGCTCCCTGCTGGTGGAGGGGGAGGAGGAGGAGGAGGAGGAGGAGGAGGAGGAGGGGGAGGAGGAGGAGGAGAGGAGGAGGGAGGAGGGGAAAGAGGAGGGGGGAGGAGGAGGAGGAGGAAGGAGGAGGAGGAAAGAGGAGGAGGAGGAGGAAGGAGGAGGAGGAAAGAGGAGGAGGAGGAGGAAGGATGAGGAGGAGGGGGCCCATGTCTGAACAGGGTCCGACCGTCCCGGCACTCCTGTGGGCCTACCACGGAGTGCTCTTAGAAGCCCAACCATGTTCTGAGAACAAAGACAGTGCTCTTAGGACATCAACCCGATGTGTAAAAAACAAATCAACTTCAACCAAAAATGTTCTAAGAACATTTCGCGGACACCACACAAAGGTTCTTAGAACATTGTTTGATAGGGCTGTAGGCGAGCCAGGACGCTTCGCCACTGCTTGACATCTTCCACCGCCACCACCATGAGTGAGAGGGGGATGGTGTCCTCCTCTCCCATTTCTTCGTCCTCCTCCTCATCCACCTCCTTCGCCCCTCCAACTTCATGGTGATGGTGGTGGGAAACAGGCCCATCACCTGTGCTGGTACAGCGTGTTGGCGATCCCGAACGTGTGGTCCAGGCGGCCCTGGAATCCCGCGGGCTGACCTGCAGGCCGCCCAAAATGGGTCCCAAGTGAACGCGTCCCGCCAATGTGATGCCTAAGCTCGAGCTCTGGATGGGGTGGCGTCGCCGATGCGGCGCGATCCTTCACCACCACCTGCCCTGGCCACATTTTGAGGAGACAAAAAGGTATCCATACCGCCGCTACACGGACCTCTCCTGGGGTGCGTACTGACCAGAATTTCAGGGCGAATCCAGCGGTGGCGACGAGGGCGTCCCAGGAGGCCCAAGAAAGGGAAAACGAGGGAAGGGTAGCGGTATGGGTACCTCTTCCTTCTCCGAATTTTGGCGGCCTGGAGGACCCGCTACGACCAGACGGGAGCACTTCATGGCGACCGCCGCGGCGATCGCCTTGTCCAGGTCGGTCGAGTCCTGGTCCTCGTGCAAGTCCCGGACCTCCACGCCCCTCGCCTCGAAGGCCCGCAGCACATCCGGCGCGGCCGAGTCCAGGTCGCCGACGATGAGGTCTGGGGACAGGTCGGGGCAGTTGCGGCTGAGGTGATCGGCTCGCGTCGAGTCGATGGGGGGCCTCCTGGGCCCCCTGGCCCGGCAATCGGAAGCCGGGCGATCGCTGGCAAATCCGTGGCTGCTTAAACGGTCTTCCTGGAAGATTACTCATCTCGCTAGATAGTACACGGGCTGCTTACCAGGAGAAACGAATCAACTTCCCGGAGCTTCGTTTTGGCAGCCACGGGTTTGCCAGCCTTCGCTTGGCTTCTGACTCTGGCCCAGCAACCTGTGCAATCGGCGGTGGACTTCCATCCCTTCAGTATACCTCCCCTTAGTGAAAACGGCCTGGGACCGAAACCGACGGACCTGGACCCGCAAAAATGACGGCCGCGACGCCCTCTCGCGAACCGAAAACGGCCAATTCCTTAATCGACGTGTCAGGGTAGGAGGTCTGCCCACCCTCGATGCAAGCACTGGAGGCCGTCTGAGGCCGCCTGGAGCCCGAACGGTGCTACACCTGTCCGGACAGAGGTGGCCCCCCATCAGACCCCACGCACGGCAGGCCCCTGCCTCGACAAAATGGCGCTGGCTTCTGACACCGCGTGAACCGCTTATCTTGCCATCGCTCGGACGTCCAGTCCCTGTGCATTTTTCCGTATCGTGCGTGTTTTTGTTTGCTCGATGATCCAGGATGCTCCTCCAGGGTCCCCAGCCCGGATCAGTGCGCCCCTGGCTCTGCAGGATCCTGCAAAATCTGGTGCTCCGACTGACCCCTGTTTGCATTGTCCCCCGTCTCGAGGCTCCCGGTCGGGGAGACGTAAGACTCGGGTTACGGGGGACTCGGCTTGGCCTGATGGGGCCATCATGAAACTGACGAGGTCCGATCTGAAACTTGACGCGAACTCCCGCTGCAAACATCCCCAAGAAACTGGACCGCCAAAATCCGGGACGCGCTCGTCAAAGCACGTCGGCAAACCCGAGTTCTGGGTTACTCGAGTCTTTTTACGTTTCCCCGATCCTGATCGACTTTGAGCGCGCCCGCGCTGGCGCCACCGCAGCGTCTGACTACCCACCAGACCACCCTAACCTAACCCGAAGGCCCAACTTTCGCGGTGGGGGGGGTACGGGTTCCACATGTTTTTCCGACCTTCCCCGACCCCCCCCTGCGTGCAAGACTCATATCCATATCCAGTGCCTCTTGGACTTTTTGGGAAGCGGCGCTACAAGGCCGAGGCGCACTGGATATGGATAAAAATCGAGCCTCTATGAGGGCAAATATCTCCATATCCAGTGCACCTCGGGCTTCTTGGGGAGGGAGCCCGACACCCCAAGCTGCAGAGGATATGGACAAAAGTATTCCCCGCACCCCCCCACTAGAAGTCCAGGGTATCACTGAGCCTTCGGGGCGGGTTGGGCTGGCTTGGCGGGTGGTGCGCGTCGAGGCGGCGCGGACCCGCCGCAGCTTGGCGGCGCCGTCGGCGCAGATGCGCACGCCCACGGCCGCCCACAGGGCCCGCACCCGCGCCTCCCGGAGGGCGCCGGCTGTGCACCGACACCGGCTCACCCTCCTCCTCCTCCTCCTCCTCCCTCCTCCTCCCTCTCTCCTCCTCCTCCTCCTCCTCCTCCTCCTCCTCCTCCTCCTCCTCCTCCTCCTCCTCCTCCTCCTCCTCCTCCTCCTCCTCCTCCTCCTCCCTGGCCGGGCAGGTGCTCAGGTCGGGCACGCCCTCCTCCAGGCGGATGCTGGGCGAAACGCAAAAACATACGCAAGGCGTGCCCAACAGGAAGCCAAGCATGTGGCATAGACAGTCGGCAGTCGTCTCCAGGCTTCTCTGTGGTGCTTGGAGCTTTCCTCCTGCAGAGGGACGTGCCCGACTTGAGCCCACGCTGGGCCCACAGGTCGGCGCACGGCCGGCTCGCGTCGTGCCGACGTGGCCGCTGGTTTCCGGCACCGCCGATCGGCGGCGAGCCCGAGAGGGGGCGGGCCTCCTCGGCAAGCGGCGGGGCTTCGCAGTGGCCCTCGCTCGCGCATCGCTCGCAGCTTCGGAGGCACCTGCCCCGATGCCGCAGACGACCACACCGCAGACGTCCCGAGGGCTTCTGCGCAGTACTAGCCGCCCTCTGAGCAGGCCTGCCCCTCCGTGAGGAGACCAGGAAGTACCGTCGGGGCGTTGCCCTAAGGAATCCAAAATAGGGAACGAGGCCCCTTGATTCCCAAAGTTACATGTCGATGTCCCATCGAAAACCTAAGAATAACCTAAGGCGAACTGCAAGACAATTCAGGAACACTGAGACCCTCCCGAACGAAAAAGGGTTCCTTCTTCAGCGCCCCGCCTGTAAGAAGTACCGATGCCGTGATTCCCCAGACCTCTCCCTGGGGGCGCACTGACCAGAATTGCAAGTCGGATCTGGCCGTGGCGACGAGGGCTTCCGAGGAGGCCCGCAAAGGCGAAAAGGAAGGAAGGGTACGTAGCGGTATGGGTACCTTTTCCTCCTCTGACTCTAGAGGCCTCCTGGATGGGGTCGGAGTAGATGGGGTCGGAGAATCGCGCCGCATCGCCGATACATCGGCGATACATCGGCGATGCATCGGCGATGCATCGGCGACATCGGCGATGAATCGGCGACGCCAGCGTGGAGAAAATCGGGCTCCACGTCGAGCCGCATCGCCGATGCATCGTCGATGCGGCGCGATCCCCCGACCCCATCTACTCGGACCCCATCTCAAAGGCCTAGAGACTCTCGCTTCCCCCCTTGGGCCCGCCGCCGACTTCCGCAAGCTCCGCGGTCTGACATCGGAGATCGTTCGAGCCTGGCCCGGCTTGGGCCGACGGTGGCCTTCAGCGTTGAGCGCCCGCGCCCGCGTCGCCGCCGCGACGACGCGGCGCAGGCCAGCCGTGCACACCCTGCTGGCCCAGCCAGGAATTGTTGGCGGCGCGCACAAGGGGGTAGGGGGAGGGGGGAAGGCTTCTTAGAAGGAGGCTGCTTCTTAGAAGGCGCCGGCCTTACATCTACAAAGAAGGCCCACGCCTTCTAAGAAGCAGGGGTGCTTCTAAGAAGCCTTCCCCCCTTCGCCTACCCCCTTCTTCGCGTGGCCAGTGGGCGACGCTGGCCTTCAGCGTTGAGCGCCCGCGCCCGCGTCGCCGCAGCGACGACGTGGCGGCAGGCCAGCCGTGCACACCCTGCTGGCCCAGCCAGGAATTGAGGGGCTGACAAAACACGCTCCTGCCTTTGGGGTGCAAGCGCGTGGTCTGTAGACCTCCTGAGACATCCCGAAAGCCAGAGAGCCGCCAGGACGCCGCGCGACACGCGCGACACGCAGGGCTTCCCCTGCCCGCCCGTGGGAGTTTCAGCGCACAGCGCCTCGTAAACCAAGGTAATTAGGGGCGCTCTTCACGCGCCGGAAGGAAGGCGTGTGAACGCCGGTCGTGGTTGCAAGACCCGGCCTGGGGCCAGAGTCCACGCAAGACTACGGTGCGGGCACTAGGGGAGGAACTGCTGGGTGAGGAATCAAGGGCCCAGATGCCCGTGGAACTGCAATCGTGGATTGGCCATGGATATCACCACCGCCCTCATTAGACTAAGGGATCATGCAGGATCTGAAGCCTTATGGGCACATTCCGACACCAACGCTCCCCACCGTAGACAAGTCGTCCTAATTAGCCTATTGTCCGAGCCGCGTCCAGCCTGGTCTCGGACAAACTCCGCTCAAGACGTTCAAGGCTAAGCGACGCCTGCCGTTCCTCGACTCGCGCTGGAGCGCCATGATCTGCTCCAAATTTCCCTGTTTACGCAAATCTGCCTTCAGTTCCGCCACCGTGCCTCTGGGCACGGAGTGGGCGTGTCCTCAGGTCCTTTTTCTCGATCCCTGGAGCCTCAGTCCTACATCCTAAGGGATCTTTGAAGGCCCAGGTCAAGTCCGAACTCTCTTAGACTCTTAGGGCTTGTCGCGGTTCCCCTGGGCTCCCACGGATCTCACCCCGCGCCTTTTTGGTGCCCAGCAGGGCCCAAAGACGGGCCAAGAGGGCTCCACGAGGCCGCCAAGACGGCCCCGAGTCGCTGGAAGATCCTTCCAAGACGCCAAACATGGCCTCAAGATAGCCAAACGAGGCCGCCAAGACGCCCAAAGAGGCCTCCCAAGAGGCACACAGCAATCCTTGATTTTAAGGTTGGCGCCCTCGCCTTTTCAGCTTTTCGACGCTCCAAAACGGCCCAAGATGCCCCCCAGACCACCCCAAGACGGCCCAAGAGGCCTCCAAGAGGGCCCCAACACGGCCTAAGAGCGCTCCAAGACGGCCCCAAAAGTGCCAAAGACGGCCCAAGAGGGCCCAAGAGGAGCCCGAGAGAGGGAGCACGAACCGAAAATCCGAGCCTTCCGCCCCAAAAGGCCCCCAGGAGGCCCCAAGAGGCGCCCGGGAGGCCCCCCAAGAGGCCCGAAGGCCCCCAAGAGCCCCTGAAGGAGGCCCCAGAGCGGCCCCCAAAGGACATCCAAACTGCTTCCAGGAAGCCCCCGAGAGGTCCTCCAGGAGATCCCAACGACCATATGCCACGACAATGGACACCCTAACAGTCCCATCATTCAATTTAACATGTGCTTAAAATGTAGGAAACATGTTCTAAACATTATTCAAACGTGTGTTTTACATGTTTGAAACATGTTCAACACATGTTTTAGACATCTGGAAATTACTTGGCAACACGCTTCCTCTCCATTGATCGCCCTCCACAACAAAAGGCAACATACCACAACCCCGGCACGGCGACGGGAGGGGCCGAAGGCCACTCCAGATACCTCGACGGAGCTGGCCTGGCCCCCACACGTCGACGGGCGATGCATCGTCAAGCCCTTGGGGATCAAGACGAGTCGTCATTCGGAAACTGGACCACTTACATTACCAGTGGCGGGCGGTTATTCAATCCCAGGACTTCTTTGAGGGTCGGGGACGACGTCGGGGTGGTGCGGTGTATACTTGTTTCCCCGTTTTCTCGGGGAAATCAACGAAGAATGTATGCACCAGGATCCCGTATACACCAGGATCCGCCTTCCTGTGCGAGATGCAGTGTGAGGCCAGACAGAGGCGTCGGTGTAAGTCCGTCGGTGTATAGCGTTCGCCTCCTCAGCCATGGCCAGCTGTCCGAGCCACGCGCAAGGAGGTGGTGATGAGCACCCTCAGCAACGCCCAAAGTGAAGGGGCATCAGGACACAAATGAATACACACGAGTAAAAGGATTCCCCTGATTTTCCAATATTTTCTGGGTTTTTGTCTTCCCCCCCATTTCCCATATTTTCCCATATTTTTTCTGGGGAATCGACGATGAATGGTGTCTGTGTGTATTTTTTCCCCTCCTGACAGAGCGGCCCGAGGTCGGTGAAGGTGCACGCATGGACGCCCTCCCATGGTGCCCCCGGAGCTGCGAGGACGTCTTGACGAACCACGGTGCGGAGGCCCAGGCATCTCAGCACTGTCCCGAGGGGGCCCCCAGAGATGCGAGGATGTCTTGACGAACAACCGTGCGGAGCCCCAGACACCTCGGCCCTTTCTCCCCAGGGGGCCCCCGGAGATGCGAGGACGTCTTGACGAACAACCGTGCGGAGGCCCAGACATCTCGGCCCTTTCCTCCAGGGGGCCCCCGGAGATGCGAGGACGTCATGACGAACAACCGGACGGAGTCCCAGACACCTCAGCCCTTTCCCCCCAGGGGGGCCGCTTCTTCATCCTGGGTCGTCCTTCGACGGTCCCGGGGCCCAGCAGGGGCTACCCAAGGCCGAGAACAGCGC